GGATACGGCGAAGTCTATAAAGGCAAATGAGTAAATCAAGACGTAGCAGTTAAAAAATTATATTTATCACCTAATAATGTTTCTAAATCTGACATTGAAACTATTATAAAAGAGGTAGAAACACTCAAAAAACTGCAGAATAGACATATTATTCAATATTATGGAGTTTATTCCGGTGACCAAGAAATTCTTATTATCATGGACTATGCCGAAAATGGTACTTTAACTAAGTTTATTAATGATAATAAAGATAAAGAACACGATTGAAATATCAATACTGAACTCATTAAACAAATGGCTCTTGGATTGGCTTATGTTCATCAACAAAATGTTATTCATCGGGATTTAAAAAGTCTAAATATTTTATTGACTAAGGATTATGAGGTAAAAATATCAGATTTTGGTTTAGCTAAGACTAAAAATGGGACGCATTACAACAAAAGGGTCAAAAGTGATGGTTATTTCAGTAGCGATTTTCTAACATATTTTCTTAAATTTACCCAGGCTCAAAAACTCGGAGTTTTTTAAAATCCTGTATTAGATACTTTTTTCTTTGCTCCACTAATTCATTTATGTCCTCAATTTTGGTTCAATCTCTTTCCTCTAAATAATTCATTAGGCAATTTTTACCTAAATCCTTTATATCAAATCTTTTCTCGCTTCAATCTTTGTTAGAAAGAGTAGAGTTGTCAGTTTTCCTTAACAAAGTAATATTCCCCAAACTGTTTATAATTGTTTCTAATCTATTTTCTCCTTTTCGAGAAGTTTGGGGGGCTAAATGTTCCACGCTGTATTTTAAGATATCTTTCTTTAAACGCTTTTTTATTTCGTTGGTCAAGTTTTCATTTGCGGTGATTTTTTTCCAATAATAAGACCTAAAAATAAATCCCCAACTTCTATTATGTTTATCTTTTGATTGATAATTCTCTAGTTCTTTGTAAAAATCTACTGAATTTTGTTCATCAAATTCCCTTTGAATTTCTTTATTTTCCTCTGTTTTATCTTCCAAAAAAGTTCCTTTGTCGTTTATGTCCTCAATTATTTTTCTTTGAAATTGACGCAAAATATTTTTTTGTCGAACTCTTTGCTTTATAGTAGTTGTTCGGAAAACTCAAATTAACAACTTTCTCAATTTTCTTGTGACATTTCCTTTCTCTTCTTCGCTTTTACTAACTAGATTGAAATGTATCGCTAAAAAAAGCGGGCGAAAAAAATAATCATTGGGATAGAGAAAAAGAACTTCATAAACAGAATAAAACATTTCAGAAGGTCAATGTTTTTCTCACCAATAATCGTAATCCATAATTTTTATTATCTTTT